TGGACTTCAACTCCCAGAATTCCTGAGCCAGCATGGGGGAACTATGGCCCCTTCATGACTCATGGACTTCAACTCCCAGAATTCCTCAGCCAGCATGGGGAAACTATGGCCTCTTCATGACTTGCGGACTTCAACTCCCAGAATTCCTCAGCCAGCATTGGGAAACTCGCCCCTTCATGATTCGGGGACTTCAACTCCCAGAATTCCTGAGCCAGCCATTTTATTAGGCCGAGAGAGAGAGAGAGAGAGAGAGAGAGAGAGAGAGAGAGAGAGAGAGACCACATAACCTTTTGCAATAATCTCTAATAGACAACACCCCAACCATCTATAATTATATCCCTTGCATAATCTCTATGAACAGATTGCTTTCTGAAAGAATCTCTCCTTCCTCTTCCTTCCTTCCCTCCTTCCTTCCCTCCTTCCTTCCTTCCTTCCTTCCTTCCTTCCTTCCTTCCTTCCTTCCTTCCTTCCTTCCTTCCTTCCTTCCTTCTTTCCCTCCTTCCTGAGCAGCCATATGGCATGCATTTTGCTCCAAGAGCTGGCACGCTGTGTGTTATCGGCAGCCAGCAAAAAAACTTTCTCTTTGTAAACAAAAACGAAATGCACCCCGTGATGGTTGCAAGAATCCGAAAACTAAGCCGTCTTTCGGAGGTGGCTTTTTAAATTTTCCAAATGATGCCCAGATAGGCTTTGAACCTGAGGTGTGGTGCCTTCTAAAAACATTCCTGGAACAAACCAAGATTTTAAGGGTGCAACGGAAATGGAGGCGTTTCAGGCAGGTCCTGCAAAGGCAGTCCCAGGCAGCAGGCCAGGAACCGAATACAGAAAGATCCTTGTGGCTTCTTGCAGATGGAAGGCTGAGCAAGGGGGGGAAAAAATGCTTTTTATTATTGTTATTGTAGAAATGCCGTAGTGGCTGAAAAGGGTTTTTTTTTTTTAGAGCGGCGTTTCTCAACCGCGGCAGCTTGAGGACTTCGACTCCCAGAATCCTCCAGCTGGGGAATTCTGGGAGTCGAAGTCCGCCGATCTGAAAAGCTGCTAACATTGAGGAACACCGGTGTAAAGAGAATTACAAAGCGAATTAAAGACGGCCCCGCTCTTTTCCTGCACCTTCCCTGACGTTTAGCCTCCAAAATTCCCCTTTTGTGGAACTGTGGTGGAATCAACAGCCTGTCGGCAAGTCAGGCAGCATCTCGTCTCTGAAGCCCTGAGGGAAAATATACGCACAAATCTAATTGTCTTTTGCAAATATTTGCATGTAAAACGAAGGCACAGTTTACTGTGTTCTTAACTCATGGAGCACAATGTAGTGCTAGGTCAGGGGTAGGCAACCTTGGCTCTTTTATGACTCCTGGACTTCAACTCCCAGAATTCCTGAGCCAGCCATGCTGAGGGGAAAGGGAGAGGTTTCCAAGCTGAGCCATGCTGGCTCAGGAATTCTGGGAGTTGAAGTCCACGAGTCATGAAGGGGCCATAGTTCCCCCATGCTGGCTGAGGAATTCTGGGAGTTGAAGTCCACGAGTCATGAAGGGGCCATAGTTCCCCCATGCTGGCTCAGGAATTCTGGGAGTTGAAGTCCACGAGTCATAAAAGAGCCAAGGTTGCCTACCCCTGTGCTAGGAAAAGAAAGCAACACAAATTATTTGTCAGTGTTGGAAACGCCAGTATTTTGGATGCAGGCCGTCCTCGATTTACAACAGCATTGAAAAAAGTGACGTAGGACCGTTTTTGTTGTGTTTTTACACTTACGACCATTGCAGAATTCCTGTGGTCACACGATCAAAAATCGGGACGCTTGGCAACTGACTCATATTTATGACGGTCTCAGTGTCCCCGGGGGGGTCAGGTGATCCCCTTTTGCGAAATTCTGACAAGCAAAGTCAATGGGGGAAGCCGGATTCACTTAACAACCGTGTTCCTAAGCACAACGGCACTGAAAAATGTGACTTAATGACCATTTTTCATAGTTAACGACCTTTGCAGCATTCCCCGTGATCACGTGATCAAAATCCAGAAGCTTGGCAACTGGCTTGTACTTATAACAGTTGCAAGATCCCGGGGTCACGTGATCCCCTTTTGTCACCTTCTGACAAAGCAAAATCAATGAGGAAGCCAGATTCACTTAAAACCGTGTCACTAACTTAATAACTTCAGCGATTCACTGAACAACCGAGGCAAGCCATGTCGTAAAACAGGGCAAAACTCACCTAATAAATGTCTCACTTAACGACAGAAATTTTGGGGTCAATTGTGGTCGTACGTCAAGGATAACCTGTAGTCCTTGGCTTACAACCATTCATTTAGTGACTGTTCAAAATTATGACAGAAGGGCAAAAAGTGATATATTCTAAGTTACAAGAGAAGTGCACCAAGCAACTTAATGACCGTTTTTGCACATTTATGACCATCGCGGCGTCCCCGGTGGTCACGTGATCAAAATTCAGATGCTGGGCAACTGACTCGTATTTACAACCGCGGTCCTATCTCAAGGTCACGTGATCCCCTTTTGCAACTTTTTGACCAGCAAAAGTCAGTCCGGAATCCAGATTCACTTAACCACCGGGCGACTCACTTTAACGACCGCAGCGATTCATTTAACAACGGTGGGCGAGAAAGGTCGTAAAATGAGGCCAAACTCACTTAATGACTGTCTAGCTTAGTAACAGAAATGTTGGGCTGAATTGTTGTAAATCGAGGAGTACTTACTTGTGTGCCTCCAGCTTTTCATGGCAGATTCTACTTTTATGAAATACCTTGTTTTGTTTTGTTTGTGTGTGTGTGTTGTTCAGTGTGTGGACCAGCTGATCAGGATCCAGACCGAACTTCAGGAGACGGTCAAAGATTTAGCCAAGGGGAAGAAAAAATACTTCGAAACGGAGCAGATGGCCCAGGCTGTCCGGGAAAAGGCCGACATCGAAGCCAAGTACGTTCTCGCTGCTTCCAAAATTCTGCACGCAAATTAACTCCACGCAACTCTTTGCCGTCCTAATTAGCGCTTTAATCCTGCTTGTAGCCAATTGGCCCCGATTACCGAGGAATTTCCTGCGTTTCTCCCTTCAATCTTATTTTTGAAAGGGAAAATAAAAATAAAAATAACGCGCCGCTTTCTAAACACAGGATTCTCTGTCCTGTTCACCAGAAATAACTCTTTTTTTTTTTTTTTTACTACTTGTTTGTTTGCAGGTCTAAACTTAGTCTTTTTCAATCGAGGATAAGCTTACAGAAAGCCAGTGTTAAGGTAAGTGCAAAAATAAATGGTGTAACGTCCAATTTTAGAGCTGTGTAATGTCTGGCAGTGGAGACAGTGCAAAAGGGGGAGTTGCAGTTTTGGAAACTCTAAGCTGTTTTCTGTATATATCACAGGTCCTCCTCGACTTACAACAGTTGACTTAGTGGCTGTTCAGAGTTACAGCAGCCCTGGAAAAAAAGGGACTTAGGACCGTTTTTCACACTTATGACCTTCGTAGTATCTCGATGATCGTGGGGTCAAAATTCAGGCACTTGGCAACGGACTCATAGTTATGACGGATGCAGCGTCCAGGGGTTATGTTATCCCCCTTTGTGACGTTTTGACAAGCAAAGTCCATGGGGAAGGGCAGATTCACCTAACAACCGGAATAGAATAGAATTACAGAATAGAATAGAATAGAATAGAATAGAATAGAATAGAATAGAATAGAATTACAGAATCGAATAGAATAGAATATAATTATAGCATAGAATAGAATTACAGAATAGAATCGAATAGAATTACAGAATCGAATAGAATTACAGAATCGAATAGAATTACAGAATAGAATAGAGTATAATATAGAATAGAATAGAATAGAAATACAGAATAGAATAGAATAGAATAGAATAGAATAGAATAGAATAGAATTACAGAATAGAATAGAACAGTGGTGGCGAACCTATGGCACGTGTGTCAGAGGCGGCACTCAGAGCCCTCTCTGTGGGCACTTCTCTGAACTGCTGGCGGTGGGCTGCAGAGGCCCAGAGTGCGCCGACTGTGGCTGCTGACGGACACTGTCGGCCCCCATGCGTTCGCTGGCCTTTGTGTGCGGGGGCCGATGGTGTCAGGCAACAGCTGCCCCGGCCCCTGCCTTGACTTGCCCTGAGATAATGGCACCCCCACCCTGCCTCGCCTCACCCTGCAGGAGGAGCCTCCTACCCACCCCACCCCACCTGCTACAGACCCCCTGGATCTCCCCCCGGCCCCCACAGGCGTCCCTCCCCATGAGCAACATCGAGGTGACCACGCCCACCCAGTCTGCCATGACCATCACAGCCATGCTCACCTAGTGAGCCACGCCCACCTGGCACCCGGCAATAAATAAGTGGGTTTTGGATTGCAGTTTGGGCACTCGGTCTCTAAAAGGTTCGCCATCACTGGAATAGAATTACAGAATAGAATTACAGAATAGAATAGAATTACAGAATAGAATAGAATAGAATAGAATTACAGAATAGAATTACAGAATAGAATAGAATTACAGAATAGAATTACAGAACAGAATAGAATAGAATAGAATTACAGAATAGAATTACAGAATAGAATAGAATTACAGAATAGAATTACAGAACAGAATAGAATAGAGTAGAGTAGAATATAGAATAGAATAGAATAGAATAGAGTAGAATTACAGAATAGAATAGAATAGAATAGAATAGAATAGAATAGAAAAGAAAATATGGAATAGAATAGAATAGAATAGAATAGAATAGAATAGAATAGAATAGAATAGAATAGAATAGTTGAAAGGGACCTTGTAGGTCATCTAGTCCAACCCCCCACTCAAGAGTTCCACCCCCCGCCCAATCACCCAAATGTGATTCACTTAACAACTGTGGCAAGAAAGGTCATAAAGTGGGGCAAAGCTCACTTAACAAATGCCTCACTCAGCAACAGAAATTTTGGGCTCAGTTGTGGTCGTAAGTCGAGGACCACCTGTACAAAAGGTGTTGTTGTTCTTATTGTTGAAATTCTGAACTGTGTATACTATTTAGCCTTCTTGGACGTTGAAGCAGCTTTCTAAAAAGGTGTAGTCATTTGTGAGCCATCCATGTCTTAACCAAAATATTGCTTTAGAATCCTCAAGGTCCATGCTGAGATAATTTCTCACCCAGTTATCTTTTTACTTGTCTAGTTAAAAGCACGCCGGTCTGAGTGTAATTCGAAGGCTACTCATGCAAGGAATGAGTATCTTCTCACGTTAGCAGCTGCCAATGCCCATCAAGACCGCTACTATCAAACGGACTTGGTAAACATTATCAAGGTAAGGATTAATGATTAAAGGCAGATTTAATTGAAGTGCTTCCATTTTTCTCCGGGTTATTCAATTCTCTTACGATGATGTATGGAAACTCACCAAGGAGAGAAGCAACCTGGAACTAAGGAGAAACTTCCTGACAGTGAGAACAATTAACCAGGGGAACCACCTGCCTCCAGAAGCTGTGAATGGTACAGGGCTTCCTGCCTGAGCAGAGGGTTGGACTAGATAACCTCCAAGGTCCCTTCCAACTCTGTTATTCTTCCTTCCTTCCTCCCTCCCTCCCTCCCTTCTCCAACACTGGAAGTTTTCAAGAAGAGACTGGACAGCCATTTGTCTGAAATGGTACAGGGCTTCCTGCCTGAGCAGGGGGTTGGACTAGATAACCTCCAAGGTCCCTTCCAACTCTGTTATTCTTCCTTCCTCCCTCCCTCCCTCCCTCCCTCCCTCCCTTCTCCAACACTGGAAGTTTTCAAGAAGAGACTGGACAGCCATTTGTCTGAAATGGTACAGGGCTTCCTGCCTGAGCAGGGGATTGGACTAGATGACCTCCAAGGTCCTTCCAACTCTTTTATTCTGTTATCCTTCCTTCCTTCCTTCCTTCCTCCCTCCCTTCTCCAACACTGGAAGTTTTCAAGAATAAAACTGGACAGCCATTTGTCTGAAATGGTACAGGGCTTCCTGCCTGAGCAGGGGGTTGGACTAGATGACCTCCAAGGCATCTTCCAACTCTGTTATTGTTATTGTTATTGACCTGTCATTTTAACCATAGTTATATAAGTCAGAATTACTGCAAGATCTCATATGTTTCCTTCCTTATAAAGAGAGCATTCTGGATCTAAAGTTTAGTGTTCGAAAAAGTTTCAAGGTATTTAACTGTTTGTAAAAAAATTATTACAGGTAATCCTCGACATACGACCGCAATGGCGCCCGAGATGTTTGTTGCTAAGTGAGACAATTGTTAAGTGAGCTTTGCCCCATTTTACGACCTTTATTGCCGCAGTCGTTAAGCGAATCACTGCAGTTGTTAAGTGAGTCACACGGTTGTTAAGTAAATCTGATTTCCCCATTGACTTTGCTTATCAGAAAGTCACAAAAGAGGGTCACGTGATCCCGGGACGCTGTAACCGTCATAAATGTGAGCCAGTTGCCAGGTGTCCAAATTTTGATCACGTGATCACAGGAAGGCTCCAACGGTCGTAAGTGTGAAAAACAGTCGTAAGTCACTTTTTTTCAGGGCCGATGTAGCTTTGAATGGTCACGAAACGAATGGCTGTAACTCAAGGATGTGGTTTCAGCTAAATATAGATATAATATTGTTAAAAGCCGTAATTTGCATTCCCTAAACATAGAGGATCTGTTTATACCAGGGGTCTTCAAACTTGGCCCTTTTATGACTTGTGGACTTCAACTCCCAGAATTCCTTAGCCAGCTACGTTTCTCGCAGTTAGGTTTGTTGTTTCCTTTCAACTAACCTGGTTTGTCGGCTAAACCAGGCTAGGGAAACATGCTTTAAGTAGATTTGCAGGTGACATTTAATGATTACTTTGTGTTCGCCGTTACGATACGCCTTCATTATAATCCAGATGTTTTTGTCTATCTCGGAAAGCATAAGGAATGTCTCAAAACAAAAAAAAAGGAGTTCTACAGTTTTAAATCCATTTACCTTGTATATAACAAATCAAGGTTTAGGTCTGAAGATGTGGTTGTTTTTTCTACATCATTATGTTATGTCTGCAGTGAAGCAATGTGGATGTGATCTGTTGTAACCTCTGTTAGAGGCAAAGAAAAGGACAGATGCTGGGAGGTTTAAAAAAGGTTTTAAAGTTTTGAAAAGGTTTAAAAACAAATTCGACTGGTACACTAAGTCTTCCTTTTAAGGTTGCCTGTCTCAAAATGATAGGAAGCTGCATCGCTGGATTTTAGCAGTAGTGGTCAAAATTATGTTTGCGACCACTTTTTGAGAAACAGTTCTTCATTTTATTTTAAAAGATTTAAAGAACAAACTAAATCAGTGGTTCTCAACCTATGGTCCACAGACTCCTGGGGACCCATTACGTTGAAGGTTTGAAGACATGTAATGATTTAAATATTAAATTAAATCTTTGGGGGATCCGGGGCCACAAAAGGTATTTAAAGGGGGGCAGGGTCCGTAGTGAAGAAAAGGTTGAGAACCACTGAACTAAATGACTACATCAAAGAAAAGAAGAAGAAACTGAAAAGAATAGTGCGCGGGAAATAAAATACCAATAAGCGGCATTCACAATTGTCCTAACCTTTTAAAATTCATCGTTTCAGGGATTGAATAATTAATGGAATTTATAAAATTAGACTTGTATCATCTTAATAATTGAAATAGTTGAAAAACTAGAAAAAAGTCTCCTATTCATATTATAGTCCTGAATAGAGAGTCTTCTGTAAGGTAGATTTAACAAAAAAATCTGATCAACAGAGGTTTTAGACTGATGTGTGTTTTGTTTGTTGGTTGGTTGGTTTGTATGTATGTATGTATATATGTATGTATGTATGTATCGCTGGATGGATTGGTAGATATATATAGGTAGGTAGGTAGATAGAGATTGATAGAGGTGTAGGTAGGTGAATTAGATAGGTGGGTGGGTGGATGGATGGATGGATGAATTTTATAGGTAAGTAGGCAGACTGACATAATGTATAGGTAGGTAAATAGGGGTATAGATTGATAGAGGTATAGATAGGTAGATGTGTAGGTAGGTAGGTAGGTAAGTAGAGATAGATTGATAGCGGTGTAGGTAGATGGATTATTTATGTAGGTAGGTAGGCAGGCAGACAGACATAATGTATGAAGAGATAGAGATAATGGATGAAGAGATGGTAGATGATAGAGATAGATAAATGATAGATAGATGGATGGATGGACAGACGGACGGACGGACAGACAGACAGACATGGATGAAGAGATAGAGATAATGGATGAAGAGATGGTAGATTATAGAGATAGATAAATAGATAGATGATAGAGAGAGACACATAATGGATGAAGAGATAGAGATAATGGATGAAGAGATGGTAGATGATAAAGGAATAGATAGATAGATAGATAGACAGACAGACAGACAGACAGACAGACAGACAGACAGACAGACAGACAGACAGACAGACATAATGGATGAAGAGATAGAGATAATGGATGAAGAGATGGTAGATTATAGAGATAGATAAATAGATAGATAGATGATAGAGAGAGACAGACATAATGGATGAAGAGAGAGATAATGGATGAAGAGATGGTAGATTATAGAGATAGATAAATAGATAGATAGATGATAGAGAGAGACAGACATAATGGATGAAGAGATAGAGATAATGGATGAAGAGATGGTAGATGATAAAGGAATAGATAGATAGATAGATAGATAGATAGATAGATAGATAGATAGATAGATAGATAGATAGATAGATAGATGATAGACAAACAGACAGACATAATGGATGAAGAGATGGGAGATGATAGAGATAGACAGACAGACAGACAAATATGGATAGATAGATAAACAAACAGATCCCACTGGCATTGTGCAAACGGTTATTTTCTATTTTTTTAAAATTACATTTTCTTTGTGAAATGCGACAAACCAACAATGAGAAATAGTGGATCAGTGTGTTGCAATTATTAAAAAAAAAACAACCTATTTCTTACTAACCACCACCCCCCCGACAACCACCCATAAAACAGGTTGGGCTTCCCGTTCAGAATCCTTAATGTCCTTTCTCCCCCCCCCCCAAAAAAAAAAATCCCTGAAAAATATCAGAGCTTCCCCTAAGACAGGAGTCTCTAGTCCCGATCTGCCCGATTTGAGACGCAGGGCAGCCTCTCTCGATGGGCACCCGCTGGTTTTGCAGAAGAAGTGTGTTGCGTGGGGTTTTGTGAATGTGGCAATGCCAGCCCATCTGGAAAACCCATCGCCGTTTGTTCCCTCCAAAATCCATTGAAGAACTCCGGGGAGGGGAGGGGAGAAGTTCAGCTGCCTAAAAATAAGCAGAGAGGAGCTATTCACGGATCCTTTGTGGAGCCGTGGTGGAACACAGCGAAGCTAAATAATAATTTTGGCCAGTTAATTGCCCATCGGGTTTAACCGAATGTGAATAAAAGCCGTCCTTCGGCCGGTTGAATTATCCCTAAATAACAATTCAGCTGTCAGAAGGGAAGCCAGAAAGAATTTTTTTACACAAGCTTTAAGGAAGCATGGAATACAGGTAGACCTCGGCTTATAGCAGTTTATTTAGTGACCAATCGAAGTAACAACGGCACTGAAAAATGTGACTGTTTCACAGTTAGGACCGTCACTTTTTTCAGCGCCGTTATAACTAAGGAGTACTTGCACAGAATAGAATACGGAATACAGAATAACAGGAGTTGGAAGGGGCCTTGGAGGTCTTGTAGTCCAACCTGCTGCTCAGGGAGGAGAACCTATACCAGGGGTAGGCAACCTTGGCTATTTTATGACTCGGGGACTTCAACTCCCAGAATTCCTGAGCCAGCATGGGGGAACTATGGCCCCTTCATGACTCGTGGACTTCAACTCCCAGAATTCCTCACCCAGCATGGGTGAACTATGGCCCCTTCATGACTCGTGGACTTCAACTCCCAGAATTCCTGAGCCAGCATGGGGGAACTATGGCCCCTTCATGACTTGGGGACTTCAACTCCCAGAATTCCTGAGCCAGCATGAGGGAACTATGGCGCCTTCATGACTCGTGGACTTCAACTCCCAGAATTCCTGAGCCAGCATGGGGGAACTATGGCCCCTTTTATGACTCGTGGACTTCAACTCCCAGAATTCCTGAGCCAGCATGGCTCAGCTTGGAAACCTCTCCCTTTCCCTTCAGCATGGCTGGCTCAGGAATTCTGGGAGTTGAATTCCACGAGTCATAAAAGAGCCAAGGTTGCCTACCCCTTACCTATACCATTCCAGACAAATGCTTGTCCAGTCTCTTCTTAAAAACCTCCATTGTTGGAGCGTCCA